TCAGATTTGAGAAGTAAATATTCTTATTTTGCATGTTCCCCTTGTATTGTTTAAGATAGTTTGTTAATGAGAACAGATAATTGGTATAAATTCCAATAAGAATGAAATAATACAGAAAAGGTAATACTTGTCATCAGTATTTAATCAGAAATCACAGTGGGGAATATTTTTTTTAATTATTACCTGAGATCATGCAGGTGTCTTTTCATTTATTTTTCATTCTTTTCCTAATAAAACATGAATATAAACTTTTACACTTCCCATCAGTCAAAGAAAAGAAAATTTTGAGAAATCCTTTTAGGTAAACAAATGAGACTTAAATTGGGACAACTATACAAAGTTTGTACTGCTTGGCACCAAACACATTCTACAGGGAATTGGACAGAATCTCAATAAAGAAAGGAAGGAATGAATGAAGCTTGCAGACAAAGAGCATTAGAAAAGAATGGTTCAGCTTTTAGGCAGCAGGTGCAGCTCTGAAGAATAAACAAACATTATATTAAGTTTCAAGTTACAGAAATAAAATAATATAGTAACTTACAATATGCAAGATATTTTTCAGAAATTTCTTTATGATTAAATGGCAGTAGATGATTATAGAATTTTAAATGTGTGACATTCTTTTGATAATGGAAATTTGCTGTTATCAGATGAAATGACTGACATGATTTGGAGAAATGTTCTACTACATTTACAAACTATACATACCAGACACAGGGGAGCCATCTTGCCATGATTATAATAAGTATACTGCTTAGTTTCAGGGGATCCATGATCTTATGTTCTACTTCTTTAGTGCACTAAATGGCGTATGGCCAGAGTTAATTCCTGATGTTTGCACTCTGCTAAAAGGCAAATACTAAATGAACTAATCAATTTTTGTCCTCTATTCAGTGTGTTATTAGTATTCCTATATTAAAAAGACTTGAGCCACATCCTGACTAAATGCTATGCTATGAAAGATATATATATATATATATATATATATATATATATATATATATATATATATATATATATATATTATATATTATATATATTATCGCACAAACTTTCATAACTGAATCAATAAGCTGTCAGATCCTCATTCGTTGAAACTGACTGGAGAGTCCATTATATATATATATATATATATATATATATATATAAAAGTATATAATTGGTATACACGGAATGAATTCCAATAACCAACAATTACTATTCTTAAAAGAGTGCTCAATACAAAGTAGAGCAGATATAATTATTTTTATAAAAAAATTTATAACATAAGTATGTTATAAAATCACTACAAAAATAGCCATTTTGTTTCAACACACTCTGTGTCTTATCAAGTGATGGTGTTGAAATACCATTTATGTTATAAATTTTTTTATAAAAATAATTATATATATATATATATATATATATACTGAATGGGAACATGTGCATTCCTTAAAAGGTCAACTGAATCTTATTGGGCTGTGAAGTACAATGTGATTGAGTGGTCTAACACATACCAGATCAGATGGTGGTTTCCTCTGTAAGTGGGGATGCAGGTTTGAAACCTACCAGACCAGAAGGCGCATATTATTAATTAAGATTCTCAAATGCACAGACTGGTAGATGTAATTTGCAGTTAAAAAAAAAAAGAAACTGGGTGTCTACTCAAACATGTGTAGCCATGAACATATAAAGCTTAAAGTAACAGAAAATAAAATCCATTAATTCCCCATAAATAACTTTGTTCACATATTGTATACAAAAATAAAGTTAGCAAATATGGACATTCAAGCAGGTATTGGCTTTTAGGAATATGTTCTTTCTTTAAATGGGTAAATGAACTTTGCTGGGTTGTGAAGCTCTCTGTGACCAAGTGGTTTAAAGCAGACTGGATTGGACAGTGGTTTTCCCCTGTTAAAGGGCTTATTTTTTTGTTTAAGTCTCTTAAATGAACAGGCCAAAAACGTAATTCACCCTGTTTAAAAAAAAAAATCTTCTCAAACATCTATATCCATGAAAGTATAGCATTTAAATTTATAAGAAATACACACACATAAAAATACATGCTTCTTATTTCTATAGACATTATTTTTATTGGATACAGGTGCATGAGTAGACATCTCTACAGATAAATGGTGCGATGGATAAATTGTCATCTAAATTATGCAAAAATGAAAGATAACACTGATATCTCATTTTAACAGATATCTTTACTAAAATTATACAAAATATCTTGAAATATGAAAGATTAAATTTACTCAATAAAATTGCCATTGGCTTCAACCATGGCCTTCAGATGATTCAGAATCTTCTGCATCTCTTCTGGACAGTCTCCTTGTTCAAGTTGGTAAATGCTGCCATAATCCTTGTCTTCAGTACATCTTTGGTATTACAGGGAGTTTTGTTAGTCTCTCACACAACTGTGACCCACACATAATAATCCAGTGGGGGTTAAAATTTTGGGAGTTTGTTGGCCAGATTTAAGGGGAAATGTGGTTACAGAAACTGTCTGACTGCCATGACTGGGTTCTCCTGCTTGTGTAGCATGGTGTAGGGTCCTGTTGCCAGACATAGGGTTTTCCAGCAGCCACCCTCTTGACCCAGGTCAGCACTACCTCTTCAAGGCACTTGATACATGCCTTTGTGCTGAATGTGAAGCCCTATGGAAAGATGAATGGAGGCATAATATCACCATCACTAGTGATCACACCAAACACCATAATGTTGACTCGATATTAAGTTTTCATTAATCTTGGTACATCTTTTGGAGACACAGCAAGCCAACAATTGTTCAGTCTTTCTGTATAGGAGATTCTGGTGTGAATAGCAAATAGTACAGCATGTTTTTTTTTAAATTTCTGGCAGAGTGAATTTCATCATGATGCACTTTTTTTTTCACAGATGGTGCCCAACTGACCCTAATAAACTGTGCAGTTGACAAAATCAAAAAGAATAATGTTTATGCCTGAAATTAAGAATATTAAATGGCAACAATTTAGCTGCCACACCCTGTGCTTTAAGAAAGTATTATGAAGATGTTTTACACTATTTACATTATTCGGACTATTGTCGTCATTTTTGTTGCCATCTTTATCACAATCTTTCAGCCATTGTACACTCAGGCCTTCTTCAGTTGGTTGGAATGTTGAGCTGAACCCTTTATTTCGCTCACTGGGGTAGACTGTTCTAGTTCCACATGCCATGTCTAATGAATGTCAGTTATCTCCTGATAATTCCCCTCTCAATGTTCACCACCACTTTAACCAGGTATTGAACTCGCACTCTTTTGGGTCCTGTCACTGGATCTAACCAATGCCTTTATCCACTGTGCCATGTGTTAAGGTGATGGAGAACTTTGAGAGGGGAATTAACAGGAGATAACTGACATCCATTAGACATGGCATATGGAACTAGAACAGTCTACCGCAGTGAGCGAAATAAAGGGTTCAGTTCGAAATTCCAACCACCTGAAGAAGGCTGGAGTATACAACGGCCGAAACTTTGTGATAAACATGGCAACAAAGATGAGGACAATAGTCTGAATAATGTAAATAGTGTACATAATACCTCATCTCAGAAATATAGACAGATACTGTAGATGTTTTACTAATTTGAATGGTGCATTATCATAAAATAGTATAAACTTTTGCTGTAATTCTTTGTGAGCAGTACCTTTTTTCTTCAAGTGTGCTGCCTTAAAGGAGACAAATCCAAAAGAGACAGTAAATGCTAAGTGCTAAAGTCAAATTCTTCAAGATTTCGGTTAGTACCTCCAAGTAAAAAAGTAAAATCTAGTGACTAAACAGTGAAAAGAAAAATTAAAAATTACTGTATTTCTTCCCTGAAAAATGATCTTAAAAGTCAACCTGAATCTTAGCACTGAAAGGTCAAGTTGTAGAGAGAAGTTTGAAAACCCTCATAAACTCCAGTCCCAAGATATAAGTAATCATGAACACCAGACATATAAGCCTACAATTATTATTCATATGTAATAAATACTGTATATTCCATTAGTATCATATTATATATATTGTTTTTTTAGAGTATGGATGATAACCAGTAGGCAGCTTCCTATTGGTACTGTAAATCAGTCATTCTTCTTCTTGTCATATATGTAGCTGATAATATATTCATACATTAATAGGGAATTGTGGCAATGATAATACGAAAACAACCCAGAGTTTGCACACTTGAACGCAGTCTTGAAATATCAGCTAGGAGCTGAATGTAAGCATGTCATGTGCTAGGACACCCTGTGGTTTGTGGTGGCAAGTATGACCTGTTTGATGTGAATAGGTTTATCATTGTGCTAAATTACTGAAGATCTAATTATTAATAACCACAAATATTTAATAATAATGTGATAATTTGTTATAATAGAAAGAAAAATGACACTAGAAAGTCAGTGACATGGCCCTGTCAGTATGGTAAGCTATTTAATCCTCAAATATTTTTTTCTAAATTACTTAGCTAATTATAGGTGTTTCTTATCACTTGTAGTGTCTTCAGGAAATATGGTATTATTTTCACTAATAATAATAAAAACAATTTCTAAAATATTTTGAACATCTGATCTTTGCATTCATATTAATTACTATCGGTCACAAACATAGTATTCATTTATAATCTGTGATACCTGAGGTAGGATTTATTAAACAAATTGGTCAGAATATTCATTCACTTGAATAAATATGCAGGAAATAATCAAAGCATTTTGAGAAAAAAGAATATAACCACATTTTCATTTTAGATTTAGTGCATAAATAGATATTGTGAATATTATATACTTGATGATTTGCTATTAATCTATATTCTGCTTGAAAATTCATTAAAAATATTAACTTCAGATATATCTCTCAAAGAAGAATTTTTAATAGCCCTATGTTGGTGAGCATTTGTCTTTGTTAAAGAATGTGATAGTTGTTTGCAAAGTTATGAATGAATGTTGTTGATTTTTTATGGCTTATCAACACTTTGTAGGTTATTGAAAGCTGAATCCAATCTTGAATTGTAGGAGGTTGCTTACAGTACCAGGTCTTCTCAAGTGGTCCCCCATCTAAGTATTAACCAGGCTTGACACTGCTTAACTCCAGTGATCAAATGAGAACCAGTGCTTTCTATGAATTAATGAAAATCATTGTGGTAACATTAAGATTGAAAATATGAAATTGATATTTTACTAAGTGCCAGTGCTCTCTTTCTATAAGCTAAATCATTAAGACAAGAATTAAAGTAATTAATGAGTGAATACTTGTTTTGCCTGTACTGTTTTCTCTCTACTGTTTGTTTTTACTGCAAATATGTTCTCTTGACTTTAGTTATAAGTTTGGGGAAGGAGAGAACATAATCTAGTAACATAAGTAACTGAACATGTAGACCAGCATGTGCAAACTGAGATTTGTGATTTCATGCTAGCACAACCAACTATTGACAGATTCTTTCTGGCAATTTCACCCATAAGACTTGGGTCAAACTATGGTTTGATTTTCAGGTACTTTTCAACAGTGCAGCATGCTGGTATTATCTTACTAGGTTGATGTTATCAAGGTCAACTCTTTGACAAATTGACCATGGTGAAATTCAAATTTGGGCTCCATGTTCAGAATATTGACATTCTAACCATTGGAATCATTATAGTAATTATTATTTTACATATAATATTCGTACTTTGCAGAATGTTTGGTTTTCAGCCAAAGGAAAAACCCAGGATATGAACTGAAAATTGGGGACATTAAAATTAAGCAAGTACAAAAATTTAAATATCTAGAAAATTTTTAACAGAGAATAGAAAATGTGATGCCAGAATCCAAAGGGACACAAGAACAGAAAAAGATGTCTTCTAAAAGCTAATCAAAGTATTAAGAAACAGGAAAATTTTGATAGAAACATAGAAAAGAATGCTATACCCTTATGTATTATCAGTCTTCTATATGGCAGTAAATGCTGGACAATTTCTTCATAGCAATCGATGTGATTCTACGGAAGGATGCTGAGAATACTATGGACTGAGCATATAAGAAATGACAAAGTTTTAGGGAAAAAATGGAAACAAAAACAACACTTATACATAAAATTGGTAAAATAGTTGAAATTCCAAGAACATAAATTGAAGAAAGAGGGCTTTGAGAATTTGATACTTACATGATATACTGAAGGCAAGATGGACTGAGGAAAGCAGCCAATAACCTAACTAATAAGTGTATATAAATAATTGGCAGAACAGGGATTAGAAGTGATAGCAAAATGCAAACCTTACAAAGAGCTGCAAAGGACAGGAAGTTATGGAGAGCCGTGATTGCCCCTGTAAAATAAGGATAACTTACACTGCACTTCACTGATGAAGTAATAACAACTATAAATACTCGTGAAAATGTCATGGTTTTCTTATGTTAATGATTGAATAAGCTCATGGCGAGTTCTATGAAATTCCCTCATCACATTGTTAAATATTTAAGCTTAACAACTTTAACAAAATATTGCAATAACAATCATAAATATGAATGTTGGGAGTAAGGAAGTGCAAATAAAAATATTTGAAATTGTCATTTTTTTCCATTTCACTGGAACAGACATTAAACACTTCTATATTCCTTCATTTCTTTCTTTCATTCACCTGAAACCAAGTAGGTCTCTGATCTGTCTTTTCTGTCTTTCCACATGATCAAAACAGAATAATCCATTATTTATGGGGTATTGGCAGGAGATGTTAAACATTTCTATCTTCCCTCTTTCCTTTCTTTCATTTTCTCACTGAAACCAAGATGTCTCTGACATTCAAAATAGAATCGTCCATTATTTATGAGGTATTAGCAGGGTGTAATGATCTGCTAAGGGAAGGACAAGCAAATTTATAATAATAATAATAATAATTTTCTTGCTACTTTAACTGTTTTCTTTTTTATCATGCCTATTTTTCAGTTTATTTTTTTTTAACAACGTTTCACTTTGCTAAACAAAACACTAAAATTTACTTACTGAAAATCAATTCTATGAGATGTTCCGCTGTGGTGTCCCTGAAGCAAAAGCAGTACTATTCACAAAGTATGTTGTCTTTGGGCAGTCAATCTCTCCATTTATTTGCATTTTTTTTATTGACTTTGTTTGGTTGTGTTTTTTTAAGCAAACTGAACTCAGCATAGAACATCATACACACAGCACTCTACCAATGAAAAGATTGCTTGCCTTAAATTTTCTTTTTTCTTATGATAATTTATGTATTTTTACACCGAAGACAGCCATACAAGTTCCCGTTAGGTGTTACAATTTTTCTTTATTAGAACTTTTCAATTTAGGCTGGCTGTTATTAATTTCACTGTTTAAAAAAAATGAAAAAAAAAAAAAAAATACTATCTGAAAGATATGTACCCAGTAAAATAATATTTATAGTAATAAGAAATAGGAATGATACTGTTAATATTAGCTGTTTCCTTATAAAGAAACATTCAGCATTCTTTGCCTGAGCAGCCAGTGCTACATTTGGTTGAAATTTATAAAGTCTTTCTCTTAGAACAGTTTTCAGGAAAATTGGTTTCTCAAGCCCAGTAGCTGATATTGCTCTTTCCAGTATTGATGGGGTTTCCTTCCTAACCTTTTGTTTGAAGTAGTGTGAAATGGTAACATCTTGATTATGCCATTATTTACTTTGAGTTATATTTGATATCCATTTAGTTGCTGCTGAAATTTCTTATATATATATATATAGGATATAAAATATCTGAAACACTGACTTTCCTGCAACCACTGGCTTCATCAGGCATCAAGTCAGAGTTTGCTGCCTGACATTTCTTGAAAATTGTATTAAGCACTCTTTAAATTTAGCTGTTCTTTTGATGAATATAACTTTTTACCAAAGAGTGAATATCTAATATTATTAAAATGTTTTTATTACAATAGATAACAATAAAAACATTTTACATCACTGCACAAAAACTTTCATGTTTCAGAATTTTAATCATTTATCATCAAAATCAACACAAACTTAAAAATAGTAAACTTCCTCGATGTAACATTAGACTTATTCAATAACATATACCAACCATACATGAAAACTAATGCAAATCCTTTATACATCCACCCAAAATCTAATCACCCTATATCTATAATCAAGCACATACCCTCCTCCATAGAATATAGAATTAGTAATAACTCTTCCAATGAATATGTATTTTATAAACATAGCAATTTTTACAACAATGCCTTAAAAAATAATGGCTATAAATGTCCTGACATTAAATACAATAAACATAATAGTGATAGCAGGAAAAAAAATAGAAATAGAAAAATCATTTGTTATATGCCCCCATTTAACCAAATGGTTACCACAAAGTTAGGGCAAAAGTTTTTCAATTTACTTGAGAAACATTTCCCAGTAATAATCCTCTAAGCAAGATTTTTAATAAAAATACACTTAAATTAAGTTACAGTTGTACAGATAATCTAGAAAATTATTAAACATATAATAATAAGATTTTAAATCTACATTTAAACCAAAGTAACAAATGTTATTTCAAAACAGAAAACAATAATGATAAAAAATCATAGGAATCCAAATGATTGTTCATTACAGAATAGGTGTCTCGCTGAATCTATTGTTTAGCAATGTACCATCTTGTGGAAATTCAACAGTTAAGAACTTTTATATCGGCAAAACAAAAAATCCCTTTAAATTGAGGTGGTATCAGCACATGTCTTCTTTCAGCAACAATGCCTAACATAATTGAACATACCTTTCTAAATATTTTTGGCATTTAAAAGAAATTAAACTCCTAATGTTAAATGGAGAATATTACAAAAATGATAATCTGTAAATCCTTTTATAACTCATGACCCTTGTGTTTACAAGATAAGATGCATATTATAAAATTTCTTAAAAATAAAGTTCTGCTAAACCAAAGAAATGAATTAATGGTTTATATAGGCATTGTCTAAATTTTACATTAAAATATAGTTAAAAGAATTCATCATTAATTTTTTATGCATTACAATTACATAGCCATTATTTTCTAAGTATATAATGGTCCACTCAATTTTTATTGGATTTTTTTCAATTTTAATATTGCCCTGTCTTTACAGCCCATTCAATATAATTAGCACCGCATATTAAAATTTCACAAAAAAATTTCTTTTAATTTTATGTATTTGGTCTCTTTAAGAAATTTCTGTAGTATAAAATAATTTTTCTTTTTCAAGATTAATCTATGTCTACTTCACCAGATTTGCTACATTATGTTTGGCACTGACATGTCTAGAGTGTCAAAGTATCAATACATGATGTTATAACCCACCTCTGACCTTATTTTTAATTTTTCTATTTTAGTATAGATCTGACTTTTAATTGGTTAATTCTGACATTGCTTCCCACCATCCTGTTAACTTTCAAAAGGCAATGATTTGTTTTCAAATTTCCCAAATAAATAATTTGTATTATATTTAATCTGTCATCGCCTGATGAGAAATGATAAAATTTTTGAAACATGAAAGTTTTTGTGTAGCAATGTAAAATGATATTATTGTAATCTATTATAATAAAAATATTTAATAATAATATATTTTTCTCAATGTTTGTATTGAGCACTTTTTAAAAAGTAAATGCTAAAAACTGTCAATTCTAACTCCCTGTTTCTTTATCTTATATATATACATACATCGCTTACCTTTATTCCCTCTTAGTTTTGTAACATTTCATTTCTCTATAACCCCAATTTAGTATCATAAAGGTTAATATCTGGGTTTACAATTTTTATAAAACCTCTTCCCTTTAAGGAACAAATACCTTTCAGTCTTATTCACCGTCTCATGCCTTTTGTCTGACTGAAACATTGAAATGGATAAGATCTGTATTAGTTTTTCAACAGTTTTCACTTATTTTTGTGGCTCTCATAGTTAAATTTCTACTTCTAACACAAAGTCAGTTTATACCAGGGATAATCACTCTTCAGTTTATCATCCACAGTATCAAACTTCTCAATTAATATATATTTGTAGTTGAAATAACTTATTCCCCATATTAATTGATTTGGATTTTTATTATTATTATTAATTTTGCTCTGTAATAATAAATCCATTGTGCTCTTTTGCAGATCAGTTTTAATATTTTATTACTAGGATCCACTTGGATT